TGTGTCCGCATGTCCCCGCCCCTGTGTGGCTGGCTGTCTCCCTGCCTGCTTGTGGGGGCTGCACTGTGGCTCTGAGCCTCAGGGGCAGGCACGGAGGGTAGCTCCTCCGTGTGCGGGGGATTTTCCTGCGCATTTTTCACCTCACAACAGCTCTAATGACCTTGGCATCAAGCACTTGCTGGGGATTAATAACTCGCTGGGCTTAATGGCCCTTACTGTGTCCTGGGCCATTTTCCCAGCCAGCTATTAATTCCAGGCAATGCCCTGGCCTCTGGCTGGTACGGCTCCGCTGGCCGAAAGGTCGCCCTGAAGCAAACGGGCACAGCCTCCTTCTGCAGGACAGAGGCCTGCATGGTTCCTTCCTCCCAAAGGCGTCGACACCCAGGGCGGGGCTTCTAGACAAATTATTTCGACTTTGATTGTCTTCAGGTCTTCATTTTCTCAGAAGACATAAAAAGCAAGAGACTAGCTCTGATTCACCTACCCCTGTACTACTGTCCATCCCTCTGTACACCATTAATTGAAGGCTTTTTATAGGGCAGGATGGAGGAAAGATTACTGAAACTGGTCCACTAGGACATTTTCTACCAAAGGAAGATACTGCTCAGTTAGTGTGACTTCAGGGAAAATGTCCCAAAGAATCTGGGAGGCCAAAAGCTATGAGGAGGAAGGCAGAGAGGAGAAGAGGTCTTGCTAGGTAGAGACCTCTAGGAGCTTTCTCCTCTCCAGGGTCCTCCTCAGCACCACAGGGGTGGAGGGACAGAGGGGCAGAGCCACAGGTTAAATTCCCCACCCTCTGCCTAGTGAATGCTCAACCCAGTGTCCTTGTGCTTAAGGAAACAACATGCAAATACTGCATCAAGAATCTTAGCCCACAAGGCATGGACATTTCCACTCCTCTCATGATGCCAAGGAGTCTAATAGCACTGAGGGGTAGAGGAACAAGCAGGCTTGGGTGACTATAACATAGCCTCAGAAATAGGGTCACCCAAAGGGTATGAATTTTAGTCACCTTGCTTCCAAGACATTATTGGTTCCTCTGATTTTACAAAAGGACCTTATGTCTTTCTTTGGAAGTGGTTCTGCCTTTGGTACATGCTCTTCTCAGCTGCTGGAAAAGTAATACTGTGGGACTGCTATTGGGCCAGATATTGTCACCTTCCTGGGCTCCACTTACCAAAAGGATTTGAGGTGGAATCTGCATGGTTCAAAGAGTAGATGTCAGTGGCTGAGATAACTGAAAGCATTGAGCTCCAGGACGGGGTACTGGGTTGACCCCAGGATGTTCTGAGGTGACCAGTGATCCCAGAGGGCCAGTGTGGCATGGTCATTGGGGAACTTTGCACTTCCCTGGAAGACTGTCTTCCAGGAAACAGGGGGAGAACCAGGTTCTTGAGCTGTGTTTCTCCCACCAGCCAGCCTGCCCCATGAGAATCCCGGCATGACAATTCACTGCAGGGAGAGAGCTGCTCCTGGGACCCTTCCATACACTGTTTCTCCAGTAACATCAAGTACCATGTCTGGAAATGATAAATCAAACTGGAAAAGTCTGGGTAATTCTAGGTGACTGTAATGCAAAAACCAGGTTTCTATGGCCTTAGGTCCTAGGATGAACTTACAGAGTAGACTTTTAAAGAAAATGTACTGTTTTATATAGAACCTCAGGGATGAATTAAATGTTCAGGAATGATCTTTTGAATGAATGAATGAATCAATCAATCAATCAATCAATCAATTAATCAGTGTCATCTCCCCATAAGTATCTAGTTTGAAACTAGTAAAATATATTACACAGGTAACAAAGTTAATTACCTCATTTATGAAAAACTCAGCTTTCAATTCCTTATCCTCTGATCCTAATCATTATTACATGACATGTTCTATGTAGGTGCTTCTCAGCACTTTTGTGGAAATATTTTAATGGGCTTCTCTGTTAGTAATGATAATGTGGCCAACCATTCTGGCTTGACTGGGGCTAAGGAGTTTCCAGGATGTAGGACTTTCAATACCAAAACCAAGAGCACCTCCATAATCCAGGTTGAGTGGTCACCTTAAGTGCTAGAGGTGGTCCTGTGGATCTGCCACCCTCCACCCTAAACCCGCTATCAATGTTTGCAGTCAGGTTTTGGCCTCTACTGCCTTCTTTCAGCTGCAGTTAGTTTCTATCATCTCTTTTCAGTGGAGACTATGTTGATCAAAGTCATAAAATCCAAAGAACACTTTCCAATTCTCATCGTGATGCAACACCACAAGCACCCCATTTATTGCTTTTCACAGCATAATTCCTTTCTAGTTGTCCTCTCATCTTTCTCTTCTGGACAGAGTCAAGTGTCCTCTTATCTTTGGTCCTATGTCCCAAAATGCCTAATTACTTACTGCACTTACTGTGTGGCCCTCAATTGTTGGTCTGGGAGCATCTTCAGTGTGGACTTGTGCTCCTGGAGAAGGAATTGTCTCCCTGATCTTTTCTCTTTAGCACATGAAGGAACTTTATCACTGACTTAAACTTCCTCTTCTTATGCATGAGGCATGCCAGGAGGATGAGGGGAAGGAAAGTATTTCCTCTATCTTTTGGCCACTGAAATTGTCTCTCGCTCAGGGGTTCACCCAGGGGATTCAGAAGGACTTTTTCTGGTTTCTAGCAGTATCCAGTGGGGTGGGGTGGGGATAGGGGCCACTTTCTTGGGATCTGGAGAGTGGCTCTTCCTGAGGAGAAAGGGCAGGTCTCAGCCATGTTTCACCAGCATGGACTGATGAAGGTTCCAGTTGGATGAGTGTGCTGTGAATGAAACTCTAAGGCATGGGAGAATTGGACAGAAGACCTCTGTCCCTACTGCACCCTGCCAGTGGGTTCCTGGGAGGGGTAAGAGGGTGTGCATGAGCTAGGCAGCCCTCCCACAGCACTGCAGGACCACGCTGACACCACAGTATATCCCACCTGCTTGAGCCACATGGCATGGGCTCAAGTCCCAGCTCTCCTACTTCCTCAGTGCATGGCCTTGAGCAAATTGCTTCACTTCTATAGCTGTCAGTATTCTAGCTTGCAAAGTGGGGTGATACTGTAATATCTGCCTGAAGGGATTATTTGAAAAATTAATGCAGTGATGTACAAAGCTCAGAGAGGACCTGGTGCATGGGGCACTCGGGAAATGTTGGCATGTCCTTTCTGCTACACACCCAGCCCTGCTGTGCTCAAAACAGCTTTCACCACTCAGTGCCCTCCTTCCCCGACCTACCATCCCTCACTAAAGTGCAAATTTCCAAGCCTTCCATTCTCCCGTGTCTGCATCCTGACCGCTAGCACAGTGCCCATCCCTAAGATTCATTAGATATAATGGGAATGGCAAAACTTTATTTCACAAGCTTACAAAGCTCATGTGTTCAGTCTGCATAGTGAGCACTTTCAATGGGTTCCACACTAATCTGCAGTCCTCAAAGCACCTGTCAGACACTGAGTGATTGCCAGGACAGGGCCCAGCTAAGGATGGGGTTCAGCCACATGCAGTTGCTATGTTTATAGGTCAAACAGACAACTTCAAGTGACTTCTCCGTGGGGCCGGGGAGATAGCTCAGTAGAATAAGCACTTGCCTGGGAAGCGCAAGGGCCTGAATTCAATCCTTGGTTCTAGGAGGGAAAAAAAAAAAAAAGTGATTTCTCCTTGATATGATTTGAATCTTAATTTTGCTCATTCTACCAAGGTAGAATAGGCTGTTCTTCCTCAGTTAGAGATAAAGAAACTCAGGAGTGTGAAGGTTAGCAACTTCCTAAGTTTCCACAGCTGTTGGCAGGCATAGAGATGAGGCCCTGAGCCCATGGTCCTTGGCACCATGCAGTGAGGAAAAGTGACTGCACTCAGGTGTCCCTGAAGAACCCAGGCCCAGCAAGCTCACAGAGGAGATACCAGACTGAAGACCAGTGCCGACGAGATGGGCCTTCCTGAGGCCACACAGGGTCCCAGGGTGAGCTGTTCTGAGCTAACAGAGAGGAAGGGCCGAGGCTCTGGGGAAATCGGCAGGGCAGCTTTCCTTCCAAATGTCTTGCCTGTCATTTTCTCTTGTACCAGTTGGCCTTGCCTGTGAGCTCTAACTGCATTACCTTCTAGCAATCACCAAGAGGTATTTCTCATCCAACAGGAACAGGAGAATGTACTGTTTGTCAGAACATAGGTGTTCAGAAAGCAAAGCTTTGGCTCGATGTTGAACTGAGCCCTGCTGGTGGCATTGTCCCTGATGCGTCCCCATGGCCAGGGCTCCCCTGGGCCCTGGAGAGAAGGACCAGGCTGTGCAATTCCTGGATGAGCTCCATGGCTCTGAAATTGCAGCTTCCTTCACACTTATGAACATGGACCAAAGCAGTCTCTGTCTCTGCCTTTAAACTGGGACAAATAATCCTGATTCTTATTTCAAAATTATGGCACTGATAGGGTTACAATCTGCAAGCCACTTCTGGTCTGATTCTGTGTTTATTTGGGGGTAAACATCTGTGCAGCATTCAGGAATATTAAATAAATGCTTACCTTGTGGGGTGAGCTAACAGTGTCCAAACAACCAGAGTCTGGCAATTTGCAGAGCCGTCCTGGCTTCCATGTGGGGAACTCTGGATGCGGGAAATCCTAGCTTTGAGAGTAAGACTTCTTACCCCACAGGCCTGCGTCCTTGAGCAGCTTTCTTTCCGCTCAAGCTCTGGCATCTTTGTATGTACAATGAGCGTGATGCTGGCTCATGCATCAACATGGCCATTTCTGCCCCATGAAGACCCAAACCATTGTCTAGCAATCAATCCTAGCTCTCTGTCCCTCTAGCCCAATGTTTCCTGTCACCAATTTACAACAGAAATTAGGGGTCTATGAAGTTTTAGCAGCCTGAGTGAGACAAAAAGAGGGATGCTTTTATCCTAAGGCCGGAAGTAGCCTCCTGGGGCCAGAAGTAGCCTCCTGAGGCCAGGGGAGCAGAAAGTCCTTTGTGCCTGACCCTGTCCTTCTCCTCCCCGTGCTTTCCAGCCCCTGAAAATGCACTGCAGGGACTGTGCCTTGGTGACCAGCTCGGGACACCTGCTGCGCAGTGGGCAAGGCCCGCAGATCGACCACACTGAGTGTGTCATCCGCATGAACGACGCCCCCACCCGCAGCTACGGCCACGACGTGGGCAACCGCACCAGCCTGAGGGTCATCGCGCACTCCAGCATCCAGCGCATCCTGCGCAACCGCCACGACCTGCTCAACGTGAGCCAGGGCACCGTGTTCATCTTCTGGGGCCCCAGCAGCTATATGCGGCGGGATGGCAAGGGCCAGGTCTACAACAACCTGCAGCTGCTGAGCCAGGTGCTGCCGCGGCTGAAGGCCTTCATGATCACGCGCCACAAGATGCTGCAGTTCGACGAACTCTTCAAGCAGGAGACTGGCAAAGACAGGTGCAGGGTGTGCGCGGGCTCAGCTGACCACGGACAGCAAGGCACTGGGAGGGTCCCTTCATGGAGTGCCCACTGCCAGTGCCTGTGAATAGAGCTCCCGCAGGGTCCTTGGAGCACATCTCTATTTCTGAGAAAAGGCTACGCAGTTGCTGGCCTACACTAGTAAATGGTGCGATATAAGAGATGTGATTGAACTATATGGTGGATATTTAAATTATTGCAAGTTTAGTAGAGTAAAAGACACATCACCTTTAGGCCCCCTCAGAATCCTCCTAGCTTTGAACACACTGGCCCTGCGCTTCTTCCCACTTTCTAAAGCAGCTCTGGAACTCGGCTCCTGTGTGCCTGAGTTGCACTGTTGTAGCCCCATCAGTGTCCTGAGTTGGTTCACAGTGTTTCCGTTTCTTGGTCCTTTTGACTTTGAGCCCAGAGTTGCAGGCAGCAGACCTCGTGAGTGATGGGGGAGGACACCATTGATCTGCTTGGGCTGTGTAGGAGCCCACCTTTCCATTGGCTGGCGCTCTGCAGCAGCGGTCACTGTGTTTTTGCTCACACCTTGTAAAGATTGTTAGAAAGCAGACATGCTTCAGAAAGGTGCAAGAATGAGAGGAGGAGTGTGTTACAAGCAAAGGGAGCTTCTGAGGGAGTTCATGACTAGATGCCTTTTACTACAGTAATTTTTTCTTAAATGTAAATATTCGCCATACATTTTGACTGCACCTCCCTCATAGCCTTAGTGCGTATCATTTTCCTTTGTGAAGACTTGCTGAAAAGGAGCAGGTGGGCTCAGTTTTCCCTTCAGACAGCAAACATTCATTCATTCTCTTACTCATGGAGTAAGTACTTGCTCCTTGCCCAGCACTGGGCTTGCTGGCGGGGACATAGGCAGCACTTAGTCCCTGCCCTCGAGAACACCGTCTTGCTCATTCACCCCGCCGGAGCCAGCGTGTGGAGGATCATGGGAGGGAATGGAAACTGTAGGGCCCCATGTAGGGCAGGAGACTTGCCATGGTCTCAGGCAGTGGCTCCCAAAGTGTCCATTAAAACAGAGACGCCAATGTAAAGAGGTGTGGGCGGTTGCTCTTCTAGGGTAGGGGAGAGAATGGAGTCGAATGGAAGAGAAGGCGTGGTACCAGCATCCACACCAACCAGCAGGCTAGGCGGAGGATTGCTCCAACACTTTTATTTGAGATGACAACAGATAAGGAGCTAGAGTGATAAAAAGTGATCACAAATCAGGAGTGATAGTTTTATAACCCTAGGCCCACAGTAAAAACTACTGACTCTCAGAAAATAAAATGAAAAACATACATATATGTGTATGTATGTATATACTTTCAGTAGCAATATAAAATGTATTTCTTACTATAAATTGAAAATTTTTGAAAGTTACTGGTGGAGGGACTGGAGAAATAGCTCAGCAGTCTAAGTGCCTGCCTGGCAAGCACAGATCTGAGTTCAATCCCTGGTACCACATGCTGTGCCAGCCTCAGAACCTGGCATGGTAGCACACACCTATAATCCCAGTGCTGAGGCAGCTGAGACAGGAGGAGCACTATGAGTGTGAACTGCATTGCGAGACCTTGTATCAAATTAATTAATTAATTATTATTTAAAAAGGAAAGTTACTGGCTTTGTAAGGAAAGGGCTTTGTCAGAAAGATAAACTGAGGCAGGGAGCCAGGCCCATGAGTTTCCAAGCAAGGAAGGTGCTCTTCTGGGCCATAGGAATCAGGTGTGGGACACACGCAGTACCTGGAGCAGAGCCACCGGGCTGCACCCAGGGAGAAGGGGTCACTGGTGCGGGGTGCGGTCAGAAGGTCCCGAGTCAGCCGGAGCCCAGGGGAAGGAAGCATGGAGGTGTGCAGGGCAGCAGGCAGTGGGTGCGAACACCACTCCCAGCTGGCGCTCGCGGTGCAGCACCCTCCCCGGGTGTAGACTCAGGCTGGCTTCTAACTTTCCAGGGCTTCAGTGGCCTTCCACGTGGACAGGGGACAGTGAGTGCCAACCACTGGGCTGCCCTAACAGTTAAATGTCCTTCATGCTGAAGCATGCGCCTTCATAACCACTATGCCTTCAGCGATGCAGTTTACCATTTTAGGCCCCGTCATGGAGCCAACTTATTCTTAAAATTAAAGAGGTCTGATAGGAAAGACAAAGAACATAAAATCCCGTGTCCGTTATGTGGCTGGCATGGGTACTTGTTATTAGAAAATGGTCATAAAGCACGGCCAGAGCCCAGAGTCCCACAATGTTGTGTGTGTGGAAGAACTGTCTTCCATAATTCGTATGTGTGTGTGATACACCATTACATTCTTTTAGGGAACACGGACACACACGTACAGCATCTGGATCGCTTTTATCCCCTTTTCTCTGCCACCACCCTCCATCTTCTTTCCATCTCTAAAAAGTCCATCTCCCTGTTTCTGGCCATCTCTCCTTTGTTTTCCTCTTTAAACTATTTATATCTTAGATTTTTCATATAGGAGAATCCATGTGATATTCACCCCTCTGCATCTGATGTATTTCACGTAGCATTATGATCTCACTGATTCATCCATTTTTCTACAAATGACTCAAGTATAAGCATAGACTTCTTCCTGGCTGAGTAGTGCTCCGTGGTGTGCATAGATCACATTTTCTCTGTCCATTCATCTCTTTCTGGACATAGAAGCTGCCTCCACAGTTTAGCTAATGTGCAGTGTGCTGCTGGAAGGCGGGTGTGTGTGGATCACTGTCCTGTGACGGCCTCCATTGTTGTGGGAATACAAACTATTGCAATTATTTTAGAAACCAATATGGATATTCTCAAAAGACTAAAAGTAGAAATTCTATTTTGCCCGGTTATACCTCTCCTGGGAAGAACTGTCTTTTTTAAATCCTGGCTACCTTTTCACTGGGGACTGGCTCCAACAGATGGGGCTTCAGGTTTGGAGGAGGAAGGGGTGGTGCCGCTGCCATTGGCCCCAAGGGCCCTTCACTGAGCCCCAACAGATGCAGGTCAGTGTGGCATCAAGATTCTTGACCTTCACCAGCTGTCCAGCCCCCAGCTGCGTGCTGCCCTTCACCTGCTGGTAAGAGAGATGGCCCTCACTCCCTGGAGCTCTGTAGCCAGGAAAGTACCTTACAAGGGATGCAGAAGGAGAAGGCTTTGTACAGTTTAATGTCACTGCTTGGAAATTTCAAGATAAGTAGAAACAATCTCTTCTATTTAAAAAATACCCTTTTGTGTAATACCGTTTTTGGTTAAACTTAAGAATTCCTGGACCTCTGGTGAAAGGTAACCACACCTCTCTCCAGATCTGCTGAATACAACAGGTTAGTGGGTGACATGGGACAAAGTCATCCCACCCTTTAGCCACGTAGCATCTTTAAGAAATGGTTTCACACCAAGACACCCCCCATCACTAAACTGTGGTCAGTGAAACCACTCCCTGTGTTGACCTCACTGGCATCCCAGCTCAAAGAAGAGCACCATGGCCTTGTGGTGGACTCTTGGGCCTCTCTTTGCAGGCACCCATGTTCTGGGGCCATTCAGCCCCCACACAGGGGACTCACACCCAGAAGATCTCAGTGCCAAAGTCCTTTAACCTGGCTAGCATCTTTATGCCTCCAAATCTTTTGAACTCACAATGATCCTCCTCCCTCTGCCTCCCAAGTGCTAGACACAGGCGTGCACCACCATGCCCAGCGAAACTCGGTATTCTTCTGTGTCTATCTTTTTAACCTGAAGCTTGCTCCAAGCTAAAAGAACAAGAAGCCAAAAACAACCCCTTCGGAACACAACCATTTCTGTCATTTGAAACGCAACATTTTCAGGGTGCAGCAATATTTCCTCACTGCTTGCATGTCTTGAAACCCAAACAGTAGCATTCACTGAAGATGCATGAAGAGTGGAATATCTAATTTTCAGATCTCATGATTGGAACATTCATTTCAGGCTGATATTTTGAAGAATTGGGGAACTCAATAAATTTTGATTTATAGAAGTTTCACTGTACTTAAAAGTGAGGGGAAAATGGTTCGGGAACAATCTGTAATTAAAAAGCATGACAAATGACAGAGATGGCCAAGTGGTATTCTTTGATATTAGAAAGGAACTGTACTTGAAAATAACTTTATAATTGAATAAGGGTACATTAGGAAAATATGATTCAGAACCAATATTATAGTAATTAGATAAAGGAAGCATAAATGAAATAACTGCAGGAAGAATATTTCCATAGAGATTATAAATGAGATCCTGGTAGAGCAGAAAGGCCTTTAATTGTAATTTAGTGCACACTATAGAATTATCAGCTCAGTGTGTTACTTCATCGTATAAAAGAATATCTGATAATTTTCCCTAATAAGCACATGACAGCTCTTCATATTCTTTCATTACAGCTGATTAAGTGTAAAAACAGTAGATATTCCTTTGTTGGAAAAAAGGAGTTCAAGTCTCTTTAGAAAGACAGTACAAAGGAGTTGTATTTTCTACAGCTTGTGGTTCCGGAAGGCTATTATTTAGGAAGTCTTGGGAATTTTAAGTGGGTCTTTAAAGAAGTCTTCACTCGAGTTTCTTTAGTCCTCCACTTTGTATTCTCCCCCATTTTTACCAGCAAAGCTTTTTTATGTGGAGCCACAGCCTCCTGTATTTCAGGCTGTGGCTGGTGTTCTGTGCTGCATCCTATGTAAGAGTCCAAATTCGGGAGAGGCTCTGGCCCTGAGTGAAATTCCTGTTTGGGTTTCCAGCAGCTCTAAAAGCATAGGAGGTGTAGGTGTGATTCCCAGGTGAGGACCCTGGGGACAGAGGTGAGCACCATACCCATCCTGGGCTCCTTAGGTCAAGAGTAAGTAGCCTATGTCTTGTCACAGCACAGGGGGGAGGACAGGCTCTTCCCTCTGGCTCCAAGGTCTTAGGAATACCCAGCCCCACGGGCTGGAGAGGAGACCCCCAATGCCTGTGGAAGCTGGAGGCGCCTGAATTTTATGCTCACTGCCCTGGCTGTTGGTGGTGGGTCTCACATAAGATGCCACTGTGGGAAGGAGTCTCTTCTTAGGTACTTTAAAAAAAAAACAGCAATAGAGATGGGTAAATTAGTGACTTGTTTGCTCAACCTAGCAGTTCAGAGAGGAGGAAGGAGCTCAATGGTCTACATAGCACACGGGATGCTTTTCCTGGGTGTTCTCTCATTGAATTCTCAAATCAAAGGATGGCTTCCCTGTGTGCTTCACAGGTGGGCAGTCCAGGACCAGAAAGCAGCAGTACTGGCCTCGGTCATCCTGTGTGGACGATATAGGCAGAGGAGAGTTAAGCCAGGGGCATCCCACTTGGGAGGCTGCTAAATGTGCTTATGGGGTATGACTGGCTCTGGGTGGAATGAAACGGAGGCAAAATTTGAGCAGGAGGCTTAAAAGCTAGAAAGTTGGAGCCAGGGCATTGGGATGACTAAATCTTCCATGGCTGTCAGGTATTTGACAAAACAAAGGATTCTTTAAGAAGATGTCTTTTATTTTGTCCTTATATGAAATGGAAATAATGCATGCTGCTTCCCAAAGTCTCCATCGTCCTCAGGGCAGGTGATCCACAGGGGAGGCAGCAAGCCCTGCAGCAGCTCCGCTGTGTGCAGCACTCATGGTTCTGGGCTGCAGCTGGGTGAAGTCAGAGGTCTGACCTTGGGGATAAGGTATTTGAAACTGGCTAATGAGGCATGCCAGGGGCACTGGCAGAAAGGAGGAGCAGCAGCCCCCGGAGAATTGAAATTAATATCCATAGCAGCGTGGCCGGTAGACCAACAAGTCATTCTCTCAGGGTCAAACTAAACCTGGATGCTGTCCCCCCATTAGCCTTGGGCTTGGCACATTGTTGAGCTCAAGACAGAAAAATCCAAAAGGGCAAATAAATGAATAATGGGATGGACAGATTCATGCCCTAAATTTGTCCATTTTGGGCTTCTAGTAATAACTTTCAGGGGCCCCGCGATGTTCTGAGGGAAAATAAAGCAAAGAGTTAAATATGAGCATTTCCATAGTCTGTTCATCTGGTGACTAGTGCCTTCCCCAGGAATGTATTTCCCCAAAGGAAATATGTTCAGTCAAGATGCTGGTGTTGGTCTGTTGAAGTCAAGCTTTGACTTTAAGATTGATCAATCAATTAATTGATCAATAGACTAGATAGATAGATAGATGATAGGTACTTTGATTGATAAGTAGATGATAGATGATAGGTAGATGATAGATCTGCATGTTTAATATGTTTAAATTATTAAGTGATTTATTATCTAGATGGGGTAGAACGAGAATTTCTAATCAGCCAAGTATTCTAGAATTATCACATTTTGTTTGTCCTCATACAAGAAATTGAGCTGTAACAGTACACACTTAAGTGTTGTGATGTCAGTCATCTCCTTGGTGATGGAGAAGTCCCGTGAGCATCCCCTCGCCTCAGGTCCACCACAATAAATCTTGTGTGTTGGTTCTAGTGGAGCCGTGTGTTATGGTGAGACTGGTGTGAGAGTTTGATGGAGTAAGGACCCAGGTACCAACCATGTGGAGGGAGAGAGGGGACGTGTGTGTCTGCAGGTGGACTCCAGAAGGGATTTCAGAAGGTCATGGGTGTAATTGAGACTTCACCTCCTTCCAGGAAGATCTCCAATACGTGGCTAAGCACCGGCTGGTTCACCATGACGATCGCACTGGAGCTGTGTGACAGGATCAATGTGTATGGCATGGTGCCCCCGGACTTCTGCAGGTAGGATCATCTGCTGGTGTCACTCATCAGCGGTCTTGTCGGGGCCTTGTAGTCTCCTTCTGAGTATCAACCACAAAACATGTCTGACTGTCTTCTTGAAGCAATTAATTAGCATGTCCAAGTTCTGGCTCTGGAAACAACAAACAACATTTAATTATGTGATATAAAGTATTGAAAGTTTTTGTTTGTACTCCTAGAGAATTAATTCATCGTATGTGCTTCATTCATCCTCTGAATATTTATCCGCCAAGAGCAATGCAATAATTGGCATAATATTAACAGTGAACAAGCATTAAGAAATATTAGTTTTATTCTCATTTGAAAGGAATGTGCTGATTTTTTAATGAATTAAAGAGGGCATTTCCTTTGACGGTAAAGCCTAGTTTCTAAAATTAATCTCCAAGCCTCTTGTCTTGCACATTAGGAGCCTGTGTTTGCACTGCCGAGGCCTACAGCTCAGGCAGTCATCAGGCCTCACTGCTGCAGAGGCCGCGCACACATGCCCCTGCTCCTGCTGTGCCCGGCAGGGTACAGTAAGGACGAGGACAGGCACAGAGCAGCCTGTGGGCCTGATGGCTAGAAGCCCATTGGAGGACTCGTGTATAAATCAAGCACTGAGGCAGGTAAACCCAGAAAGTGTCTTGGGTTTCAGGAACACTCAGCAAATGGTCACACTGGGGCAGAGAGCAATTGTTAACTTGCTGGTTGAAATTTAACTGTGTATGCAGATGCCTGTAGTCCTAGTACCCTGGGAGGAGGCAGCAGGAAGATCACAAATTCAAGCCCAGTCTGGGCAACTTAACAAATAGACAAGAGCGTGTAGCTCACTGTGAAGGCCCTGGGTATAATCCACAGGATCTCAAAATAAATGCTTTTAAACCTTTTCTGGCCTAAAACCATAGTGTGTTTTAAACTTAACAGTTCAGAGGTCTTAAGTCATAAATCAGAAGCTATAGTTTCAATGTTTAAAGCATGGATAAGAAGGGGCACTTACTCATGCAGGTCTTAGGCTGCTTTCTGTTGCTATGACTGAACACCATAGACTGACTCCATCACTTATGAAGAACAAAGGTTTACAGACACCCCTGAGATAAGTGAAAATCAGCTAAGCAGT